CCCGCCTAAGGTACCTTTCCCAGACCGAGCGAAACGAGGAATCGCCCCGCTTTTAATTTAAATTATTATTAATAATAAATATTCTAACCATGCCCTGAACAATAGGTCGGCTGCTCAGAAGGACCCTCAAATCGCAGCGCCTGCCTTGCGGGAAATATGCCTGGAAAATAGAGCCACATTCCTAAAATTTCCCTCTTCCCTCCCCCACGGGCGAGATTCACCCCAACGAGAACTCCCCAGTTGGGAAGCGGGGGGGAACAGGGCCCTGGATGAGGGCTGCGAAAGAAGCTCTGCGTGGAAGGAAGCTTAAAGCTTGTGAACTCTTCTTGAACCGAGATTGGAGTCATATGGTCATAAATCATTGGGACATATACTCCGCCATTCACAAAGTGATAGCCTATTTGAGTCCGGCTTACCTTAGTCTCTGACGAGCAAAGCACAGGCAGACATAATATATTTTCACATCCAGCATCCACGCAATCAATACGCACGGAATGACCCCCTTCCTTTAAAAATGTTAAAGGAATATACAAGAGAGAGGAGAAAAAAAAAACAATCCAGACTGTGTGTGTATAAATGTATAAAGAAAAAAAAAAGCCAAAACAGGGGGGAGGGGGCTCAGCCAGTGGAGCTTTCGGTTACGGCAGCTCAAATTGTCTCTCGGTCTCCGTTTGGGAAGAAGAAAAAAAAATCACGATGCTCTCCAGCTCCCAAGCTGTGCAGAGAAGCTGCGGGCTTTGCCTGGCCTAAGCGGCGGTTCTGGTTGCCCTCTAGCCTGGTACGCTCTGCTCACTGATAACAATGGCCTCTGCTTTGCACGGCAAAGGGGAAGAAGGGAAAGGAGAAGGGAGAGAAAAAAAAAAAAAAGGAAAGAAAGAAAAGCTGAACACAATAACCCCCCCCCTTTTAACTATGCAATGCTTGGCTGGGATTAAAATAATAACGAGCAGAATCCCGGCTACAGGGGGTGTGCGGGGGGAAACGGAGCGGAGGGGGAGATTTAAAAATAAAGCGAGCCCGGGCTCGTGGGCAGAGCGGCGTCACCAGCGAAAATTATGTTAATTGCGGCCGGGTGGCCAGCGGCCTAGGCGGAAAGGGGGCCAAGCTGCCCCGGCGCGGGGCCCTCAGGTGCCCGTTTGGGCTGCCAGAGCGTTCGGGCACCGTCAGAACGGTGCCCCCCCACCCCGCGCCCCTGCAGCCCTCGGAACCGCGGCTCGCTCGAGAGCTGCTGCTTCCCCCGCTCTGCCCCTCGCCTCGCGGGGCTCCTGTTGGAGTTCCCGGTGGGAAAGGACTTGGAGAGGGGCTATTGTGGGGGGGTCTATTCCCTGAGTCTGCTTTGGCAATTCACATTTTGATTTTCTTCATTCATAGTCACATATATCTGCTATTTCCTGTTGGTGTGGAACTCAATTATCTCTCATCTCTTTTTCATTTGGTATGCAAATTATTCTGTCTTTTGATTTTTTCTTCCCCTGCTCTGCTTCCTTGTTGTTTCCATTATCTTTTCTCTCCACTGGGCTTGTGTTTTCTTTTCTCTCTCCTTTTTTTTTTTTTTTTGTATTTATTAGTAAGTGCTACTTTTCTTTCCCATCGCAATTATCTCCCCTCCTTTAATTCTGGCGCTCGCTCCTTTGGGTTAAGTGCTGACTGGGCGGCTGTGGGGGTAGGAAAAGGGGGAGATTCGCGTTTAGCAAAGCGAGCAAATGAGCGGCCACAAAGGCGCTCGGGGCTCCGCCGGGAGGGTCTGTCCCGAGGGCTCCACCGGGCACCTCTGAGCTTTTTCTTTCCCATCGCAATTATCTCCCCTCCTTTAATTCTGGCGCTCGCTCCTTTGGGTTAAGTGCTGACTGGGCGGCTGTGGGGGTAGGAAAAGGGGGAGATTCGCGTTTAGCAAAGCGAGCAAATGAGCGGCCACAAAGGCGCTCGGGGCTCCGCCGGGAGGGTCTGTCCCGAGGGCTCCACCGGGCACCTCTGAGCTGGTGGCTCTGCCAGGAACGCGAAAGTGCCCCCAAACCCGGGCCTTTGGGATGACTCTGACCGGACAGCAGGGCCTTCCAGGGGGAAGGATGAAGTCTCACGGAGCGCGGGACTCGCCCGTGCAGCCTCCGGAGCGCCCAAGGCAGCGTCTCGACCGGGGCACATCATCCCTGTGATTTTACTCTGACTTTGTATGAACTACTCTCACATAAATATTCTTCAACAAGATAGTTCATATTTGGGAACCCCGGCGCTGAGGAGTCCAGTGGAGGCGAGAAGAATAACAGCCATGGACTATTTTTTAAGACTTCTCTATAGGTGAGGTATCCAATAGGTTTCTGCATAGGGATCTCCTGTGACCTATTTTGAGTATCAGAAGTGCTTCAGATTGTGCAAGTAACTCTTCTCAAGTGCAAACATTTGTTTTAACCTTAAAAAGCAGCAGAGAAAACAAAACCTTAAGAAGGTCCTTGCACGTTTGTATGTTGAGCTCCTGTAAGTAGTTTCTGGGCTCTCCTTGTATTTCCATCTTTGCTTTTGTTGCGGCTTATTTTTTCTTTAAAATGTAACTCCTTTGCACTCCTCGCAAAATCAGCAGCAAATGTTGCAATCTGACTGGTTTTCCCTTCAAAGGGAGCGCAGGAAATATGTTCCATTTAAAAAGCTCCCTCCAAGTTGCAGCCATAAATCACGAAGTTTAAAGACAAGTCAGTAGCAAAAGGAAAATACTCAGCTGAAATGCAGAGCTCGGGGTTGGGGCAGTGGAAAATAAAGTCACTTTGGGTGACTTTAGGGTGGGAATGGCTTCCTACGCCTTGGGACGGGTCGAGCTATGGATATAGAGGGAGACGTGGGACCAGACGCAATATTCAACCAAACTCACCGGGTCTCTGATGTCTGGTCCAGCAAACAGGAGGCAGCGATGGAGTTTGAGAAAGGAATAGAGCTGGAAAATAAAAAAAATACGAAATTTCAGTCAGAAAAGCGTGGACAAGGAAACTCATGACACAGGGAAATCTTTGCGGGGGCAGGGAGAAGATCGACTCTAATGAACAAAAGTCACAGTATTTCCTCCGAGATTATTTCTCATCCAAGGATCCACAGGATTTTCCAGGGATTGCAGCATCCCCTGAACATTTATAAGCAGAATTGTGACCGGAGCTGGGGGATAGGACGCTTGGGGCTGTGACACCCATCTGCATCTGCCCCAAACGTCCCCCAGCTCCCCGCACGGACACTCGCGGGTGGCGGGGACGTTTTGTCCCTCTGCGTTTTGCATTTGCCACTAGACCCGTTACAGAGCGGAGCGTTGCCAAGAATCGCGGGCGCTTCTTGCAGAGGGTGGCCAAAGCCTTGACGCAACTAGAGAAAAAATATATATTGTGAGGCCTTTTAGTTAAATGAAGCTGGTGATTTCAGCATTAAATTCATTTGAGAAATTAAATATATGCAGTTAATAAGCACTGGGTTCAACAATGGTTAAACAGTAGGGAAAATTCCAGGCCATTTTCATCAAAGGCACGAAAGCCTCGAGGACGGCGAATAAGCCTCGCTGTGTTCCCCGATGCGGGGGCGATGGGCGCGGGAGGCGGCCGGGGGGGGGG